CCTTTTACCATTATGTAATGTCCTTCTTTGTCTCTTTTGATCTTTGTTGCTTTAAAGTCTATTTTATCAGAGATGAGAATTGCAACTCCTGCCTTTTTTTGCTCTCCATTTGCTTGGTAGATCTTCCTCCATCCCTTTATTTTGAGCCTTTGTGTATCCTTGCATGTAAGATGGGTTTCCTGGATACAGCACACTGATGGGTTTTGGCTTTTTATCCAATTTGCCAGTCTGTGTCTTTTGATTGGGGCATTTAGTCCATTGAGATTTAGGGATAGTATTGTTATGTGTGAATTTGATGCTGTCATTTTGATGCTACCTGGCTGTTTTGTTGGTTAGTTGATGCAGATTCTTGATTGTGTTGATGCTCTTTTACCATTTGGTGTGTTTTTGGAGTGGCTGGTACTGGTTGTTCCTTTATATGTGTAGAGCCTCTTTCAGGAGTTCTTGTAGAGCAGGTTTGGTGGTGATGAAATCTCTGAGTGCTTGCTTGTTCACAAAGGATTTTATTTTTCCTTCACTTATGAAGCTGAGTTTGGCTGGATAGGAGATTCTGGGTTGAAAGTTCTTTTCTTTAAGGATGTTGAATATTGGCCCCCAGTCTCTTCTGGCTTGTAGGGTTTCTGCTGAGAGATCTGCTGTGAGTCTAATGGGCTTCCCTTTGTGGGTAACCTGACCTTTCTCTCTGGCTGCCCTTAGCATTTTCTCTTTCATTTCAACCCTGGTGAATCTGACGATTATGTGCCTTGGAGTTGCTCTTCTTGAGGAATATCTCTGTGGTGTTCTCTGTATTTCCTGGATTTGAATATTGGTCTGCCTTGCTAGGTTGGGGAAGTTTTCCTGGATAATATCCTGAAGAGTATTTTCCAGCTTGGATTCATTCTCTTCATCACATTCAGGTACACCTATCAGACGTAGATTAGGTCTTTTCACATAGTCCCACATTTCTTGAAGATTTTGTTCATTCCTTTTTGCGCTTTTTTCTCTGTTCTTGCCTTCTCTTTTTATTTCATTGAGTTGGTCTTCGACCTCTGATATCCTTTCTTCTGCTTGGTCAATTCGGCTGTTGAAGCTTGTGCATGCTTCACGAAGTTCTCGTGTTGCGTTTTTCAGCTCCATCAATTCACTTATTCTCCTCTCTATGCTGTCCATTCTCGTCAGCAGTTCGTCCAATCTTTTTTCAAGGTTCCTATTTTCTTTGCGATGGGTTAGAACATGTTCTTTTAGCTCATTGTAGTTTCTTACTACCCATCTTCTGAAGTCTGATTCTGTCATTTCATCACCCTCCTTCTCCATCCGGTCTGGTTCCCTTGCTGGTGAGGAGTTGTGATCACTTTTAGGAGGAGAGGTGTTCTGGTTTCGGGAGTTTTCATCCTTTTTACGCTGGTTTCTACCCATTTTTGTGGGTTTATCCACCTGTTGTCTGTCTCTGTCCCAGGGAGTTGGAGCTTTATGAGTTTCCGTTGCACTACTGCCTTTTTTGATTTTTTTTTTTTTTTTCAGGTCGGACCCGCCCAGCTAGCAGCACGCCTAGCCTCTGCCTGCCCACAGGGGCTTTGCTGAGCTGCTGTGGGCTCCGCCCAGCTGCCCTGAGCTCTTCCCTGTAGTCCTTTTTATATGGGCGTAGTTAGAACTGTCTGGGCAATGGTGGCCCCGCCTCTGTTATGGCGGACTCTCTCTGTTGTGGCAGGTTGCCTCGGCAACGGCGGGTTGCCTCGGCAACGGCAGCCTGCCTCCGTAGCGGTGGAGAGTCTCAGTAATGGCGGAAGCCCCTCCCCCACGGAGCCGGACCGTCCCGGTTCAGCTGTGCTTGGTTTGAAGGGCTCAACCCAGAGGGTTTCCAATTACTGTTTTTGTTTTCGTTGTTGTTGGGGGTGGAGGGGTGGGACCAACCGAGCCTGATCACCTGGCTCCCTGACTCAGAGTCTTTTCTTTTAAGTTGAACGACCCCGCGTTCCGGTCGCTTGTTGAAAAGGCGCCGGGATCTCCCGTGCTGCGACTCACGGAGTCGGCTCGGACCGCGGCGCCGGCTCCTGGCGGATTTTTTGCCTAGGAATCTCCTGGCCTGGCTCGCTATTTCAGATGAATGGGCTATTCTGCCGTCTCAAGGCTCTGCTCGCCAGCTAAGAGGGCTCCCAGACCAGTGGCTTTTGTACGGAGAACCGCAGCAACAGGGAGTGGTCACAGCAGCCGCGCGGGCGGAATCAGCCCCGCGGGGGCCAAAACAGCCGCACCGGCTGGGACTGCGACGCTGGCGACCCCTCTGCCTGGGTATCTCCTGGTCTGTGGGCAATAAGAGTTCGTCTGGAAATGCGGCGTCCACTCACCCTCTGCACTTTCACTGGGAGCTGAAGTCCTGAGCTGTTCTTAGGCGGCCATCTTGGAAGTCGGATCCCTGCATGGATCTTAAAGTGAAAATAAAAACACTTTCAGAGTCTAGGAAGAAGGACAATGTATATGTCATCCCCTGGGAAAGCAAATGTTATTGCCCTTGAAGGGACATCTGCTTGGCAACCGAGCCAAGAGCTCACATTGGGAAAAGCTACTTAACTCTCTTCTGATACCCAACTTCACCAAAAGGAAAGGCCCATCTTTAGTTCTCTTTGTAAGGACCTTGCAGCCCATCAAGAACTCTAGTGTTCTGCATTAATCACTGCCCAGTGAAAGGGCATAGACTACATGTAAGCACGACTTTAGAATGGAGCTCTAAGACAAGAGCTGGGCATTGTAAACCTCAGGCCTGGCTCCCACCAACCTCTCATTATTTCCTACTACTGTTTCTTTATGAGAAATGTTTTTGTTTGAGCAGTTCAAGAGCCTTGAACTGGACCAGCCTTTGTACTAGACCAAAGACCAAAAGTGAAAAGCAATAGCCATTCCCGCTTTAGGCTCTACCCAAATTGGGAAGTCCCATGAAGAACCCTTTGCTAACCACTTGTTGAAAAGCCGGAAGCGTGGTTAATGTTAGAAGCATAACCTGGCACTGGTACTTTTCAAGCAGGGCAATCTGAGGCAACTGCAGGTGTTAAGTAGATGCCTTCTCTCTTCTAAACATGAGAGTAGTTTGCTAAGATGGGCAAACGATAACAAAGGAAAGTGGTCAAATAACTCACTTGAGATATCTGGCTTTCTCACTGACTGAACTTTCTTCTCAATTCATGGGCATTGGTTACATAAATGAACCTTCTAAACTTATATCTGGAACTTAGTAACCATATTGTTTATTTTGCGTTTCTTTAAGGTAGCATTCATTGGAGGAGTCTTCCTGAAAAAATGAACTAGATTTCCAGTTAAGAGCATCAGTAATGGAACGGGGTAGTCTATTCCAAATGAAGACTCTATAGACTAGAAGTCATAAACTGATGATCCACAAACTATATTCAGCCCACAGATATGTGATTAATTTGTTCATTCTCATGGCAATGAAAAAAACACTTGCCAATATATGAACTTTAAGAGATTTTTGCATCAAAGTCTGATTTCCAACTTCCTATATATATTTTAAAAATTAGAACATCAGGCAATACATGCAATATTTCATGCCCCAAATCAGCTTAAGCTGAATAGCCACTTTCCCCTTTAAAGGAGACATAGTCTTTCTAGTTGACCTGCTCTACTTCATCTATGTTACTTTGTGGCCCTGTAGGGCTTTGAATTTGCTATCTATGAGGTCAGTTATCTAAGAAGCCAAACAAGAAATTGAGATTTGTCTTTTTAAATATGTCTGGCTTGAAAGTGACCTAGGTTTATGCCTTATTTTTATTAACTTCTGCACAAAGAATGACCATGAGGAGCATTTTCATACATGGAAAAGGACAGTTATATGTGAAGTGGAGAATTTTACACTACATACCTGAACAAATCAGGCATAGAAAGAAAATCCTGAAATGATGCTCTAAAAGTAATATTCGAAGTCGGAATTACTCAGGAGTAATTGCCTTAGTTTTCCACTTCACTGTTTCCCCTTCGCTTTTCTTACATAGACATTATCTTCAGAATGTACCTGTCAAAGGCCATAGTCATAATTCCCCTGCTTCTTTTTTTTTTTTTTTTTTTTTTTTTTTTTTTTTTTTTTTACTTTAACTCATTTGTACTCTTAGTAGCAATTGTTGGAGCCCTGCAGGGGAATAATTGTGGGGGAATTAACCTCTGACATTTTTCTAAAAATAGCCCTAATAAATCCAATCATAGGTAATTTACCTGTCCATGTTCCTCTGGGGGTAACCAGCATGGAAAAAAGACTTGGCAGGCTGGCATTCCTTCGGCAATTATCTGTGATCTGAGTTCCTGGTGCTTGTGCATTTTCTCCGATTAGAAATACAGAGTACAAATTGCCCTCACTTCTCTGCCCTTACGACCTTGTTTTCTCAGCGCCCTTCTCCCGGGGTTGAAATAAGCCATGCTCTTCCAAAAGGATGTGTTGAGCTCACAAGAGAAGGAGGGACATGGGTCAAGCTGGAGCATTCATCAGTTTCTTCCTCGAATTCGTGACTGGCAGAGTTTTCCCAATGATCTTTTTGTGCTCTATTCCTCCGTTTTCCATGTCTGAGCTTCAAGTAACCTCACCTCGCTTCATCACAGCCCCCAGCCCTGATGTGAACAGCCACAACTTAAACCTGTGTGGGGAAGATTCTTGGCATGGCATAAAGGCCATGGGTGCACAAAGTGTTTGTGGTTGGTAGAAATTATCAAAGAAAATCACCATTTCCATCAGCCATCATGAAGTTAATTTTTTCTTACTTAAAACAAAGGGTCTAAATGTGCTTTTCCCTTTTATTCTCCCCAGATGTTCCAGGAGACCACAGTGCAGTGTGGGCATCTAGGAAATTTATTTCTATAGTGCCACTTCTGTGGCATTTAAAACCTAGAACATAACATCCTTGTAAATTCCACTGCAGAGACAAAGCCCTAAGCCCTTAAATGCACAGCAAAGTATGTCTATTATCTATCCTTTCAAAGTAAGTGTGCAGTTACTTAAATTGCCTTTGTCTTCTTCTTTGCAGCTGACATTATCTCTACGGTAGAATTCAACCACACAGGAGAATTACTAGCGACAGGGGACAAGGGGGGTCGGGTTGTAATATTTCAACGAGAGCAGGAGGTAAGTGGTGGTGAATGCAAAATGCCCATTTCTTCTCTTTTTAAAGGAGGCCTCCTACTGTTCCTTAATCCTTATGTGTCTCCCTTAACCCTGCTACTTGGCTTGAAAACTAAAAACTGCCAAAAAGTCATTAACATCAACCTTCAGACTCCTAAAAGCCCCATTAAAGAGAGCCTTTTCTGGGCATGGCCTTAACTTTCTAAGCCTGGATGTTACACCTTCAAAACAGCTTCACTTCTCACGTGGGTGCTTGTTGAGCTGTTGAGCGTTAACTCCTCTTTTTTCAGTGGGATCTGTCATAGAGCCATTGAAATTCAGTCTCCCTTCATTTCAGGTCCTGCCAGAATACGTAGGAGGAAAAAAACATAGTTTATTTCCCAACAGATGTGAAGAGGAAAACTTGGGTCAGGAGAGAAGAAAATGATAGCTCACCTCACCAAAGGGAGTAAAAAGCCACAAACTGGCATTTGAGTAAAGTATATGACACACATCACTGTGTCACTATAGGTGACACAAAGGGCCCTGGAGCTGAGTGCTACATATAGGATCATTTCTGAGCAAGAGTTCTAACTTCCAGTGACTCTCATAAGCCCATTTCTTCCTGAGACATGAGTTCCACTAGGAATTGTTTCCCTTTTTCATACAAATTGAGTTTTTTGGTGTCTGCTTCTGTTTGACAGCATGGAATTATGGCCCAATTTGATTTCCTTGGCCTCCCCTGGCATGGTCTTGGAGCTTCCAGCAGGCCAGACTGTGTTCTAGTAACTCCCCCATCTGCCACTGCCTGCCTCTGAGATTCACCGGGCACTCGGGAAGCATGAAGGAGGCCCAGTGTGAGAGAAAGCTTTCACAAGAGACTTCCCTAGCAATTTAAGGCCTGCTTTGTGCCTCAAAGCCATTTGCGTTACACCTCCCCTCAAAAAAGGAAAGCCTCATTTAGAGGTGATATATTTGGTAATTGCACATTATTTGCAATTAATTTCTATAAGGGTATCGTAATCCCTTGGGATTCTGTATAAATTCAAGTGTTCAGTATTAAATCAGGCATCCAGCCTATTCCATTGGCCCTGGAAACACGAAAATGTGGTTGGCAAGTAGAAACTAATAGCTCTTCGTGACCTGGAATTTTTCCTGCTTTTCCAGAGCTGCCTAGTGCTAATTGGTCTGGCACATACTACACACACTTGACAGTCTGATTTGGATGGTAGCAAATCAACACTGTTATAAATTTATTGTTAAGGTGGACTGGCTCTCTCTGCAAATAAGCAGGATAGTACCAAGTATGTCAGGATTTAAAGTCTTTTGAACATTGATTTTCAAACCTCCTTTTCCAGCTTTTCCTTAAAAAAAAAAAAAAAAAAAAAAAAACCCAATTAGGTTCGCAGTGATGATAAAGAGGAACCAGAGGAGCTATTTAGCATAAATTACCCAAGGCAGCATGTTGCCTGTAATATTCTGCTCTACATTTTCCATTAGCTATTTATAGGTTTCACCTATTTTAATTTAGCGATATATTTGGGAAGCCTGATTCATTCGTAGAATGGTGGGGAACACATTTTCTAAGGCAGGGTAGTTTTGTTCAAGAAAAAATAAATATCAGTGAGGATAAAGAACCTGCAGTTAACACTTGTTAAGCTCTGTGGCCAGTCTTAGGATTAAAATGAGCACTAAATCTGAGAAACAAACCCATGTGACATCATCTAAGGCAGACCTGCTGTTGACTTCAGTGGGTGAACTCCAGGAGTGAATTCTCAGGAGGCACACACCCGGAGAGTCCGCACAAATGCGTTTCACACCCAGGGTTCAGCACCATCACCAGTTTGTAAGCTGAGATTTGGGTTTGGATGTTTTATATCCACCTAGGAATATACATCTGAAAATTAAGCCTTTTATTAAGAATCGGGCTTTTATAACAAATATTTAGTAAGGCTCAGATTTGAATTTTTGAACAGTTTTTCAAAGCCTGCATCTTGAAGCTCTTGGTAATAAGGTCCTAAAATACCTGAAATAAAACCTCCCTTTTCGTTTTCCTCTTCTCCTTCTTTCTTTCATAGCCTGTTTTTTCTCCCCTCTCCCTTTCTTTTCTTTTTCTTTCCCTCTCTGCAGACCCTTGCCCTTGTGCTTAATTTTCTCATCATGTATGTAGTCCCTGCTGTTTGCTCATTGTATAATCAGTGCTAGAGGAAAGCCAAGAGGTAAAGTCTCACCATTCCTTAATGATGCAGGTAGCATCCCTGAGCTCCTGTCTGCTTTGTCACTCATGTTGGGGGAAAAAAAAAAAAAAAAAAGGAGCAGGGGCATTCTGATGCCCAAATCTGCTCCTTAGGAGCTGTGAGACCTTGGGGAAGTCATTTAATATCTGAGCCCCTTTTGTCTATTTCCTTGCCCCACCTACTTTAGAGATTTCAGGAGAATCAGGTGAGATCTTAAAAGGCCAATGAAAGTCGCAGATGCTACAACTTTGAACTCCCTGTAAGGGGTCAACATAAATATTTACGAATGCCACTGTGGGATGGCTCACTCTGAAGGGTGACCGCAGCCTCTGTTAGGATGCAAAAGAAAATATTAGAAATTCTATTTATATTGATTATAAAATTTTGTTCTATTTTAATATATTTCTATATATATTATATATGCTATATGATAGTATAGAAGTTCATGTGTATAATTTTATATATGTATACATATTATATATATGTATATATATATTTTATATATGTATATATTATGTATGTGTGTATATATTTTATATATAAATGTGTATATATATTTCATATATGTGTGTGTGTGCATATGTGTGTGTATGTACTTCAGAGGTGCCAGTGGCTATCATGACCCTGCCCTCATCCCACCCCTAATAACTAGGCTGGGAAAAAAGGGAGTTGGTGAGTTTTGCAGTTGGCCAGCATGATTTAATCTTTCGTGTATTTTTTTCCTTTCCTACAGAGTAAAAATCAGATTCATCGTAGGGGTGAATACAATGTTTACAGCACATTCCAGAGCCATGAACCCGAGTTCGATTACCTGAAGAGTTTAGAAATAGAAGAAAAAATCAATAAAATAAGATGGCTCCCCCAGCAGAATGCAGCTTACTTTCTTCTGTCTACTAATGGTAGGTGGAAGTGACTTTTCCTTTTTGGTATTTTCAGAGATGCAGTCAGCCAAACTATGTATTTCAGTCTCTCTTAGCCTCAATTTTCCTTTGAACTGTGGAGGTTGTTGAAAAACTTAGAAATAACATTTGCAAGATGCTTAGCAGTGTGCCTGGCACACACAGATTAGGCCCTCACTAAATAGTAACTATTGTTTTTAAAAATATCAAATTTATGACCCAATTATGTGAGGCCCATATCTACAGTTTTCAACTATTGCAGATTATTTGCAGGTGTTTTAGGAATGCGACTTCCTGTCTTAAGATTCACTGAATGTTATTCTGGGAATACATTTCAGGATACTCAACATGCTGTCTCTGTGAGGTTGGCATACTGAATAGAAGTTATTAATCCCTGAATATATTTTAGGGTCTGTAAAGCAGATGGCTGTGTGTCTCTCTGACAAAAATTAAGTTGTAAGATAGGAGCACAAGTCAAGAAGAGATAGGAACTTGATTGAAAAACTGATCAAGAAAGAGTTTTCTTCCTTATATCCCTCCATACTTATACCTTTTGTTGGATGAGGAGTTGTTGATATAAATAGGTCAGAGAGAGAAAATGTTGGATATTGAATAGAGAGACAAATTACATAATCACTGGGTAAGTCTTTTTATGTGGGAATTACCTAATCTCCAGGTTCTTAAATCCTTGCTAAAAGAAGCCATCTAAGCTCAAAACAACTTGTCATAAAGTCATATGTTAAAGGGTGCTAATTGAATAGCATAACAATTAAGAGGATTCCTATTTAAAAATTAAACACTCTTTCCCAAGAAAACGAGTTGGAGAATGATTCATTTTATCGCATATGTGAGTCTATGAGGAATATACATTTTAATTTAAATTGAGAAGCAAGAAGCAAGGTATTTAAAAAGAAAGAGAAATATTCATATTTCCAGTGAAAAAATACAGTGTAAATAATGTGATCAAACATACATGAATATTTTTAAAGACTAGAAGGAAATACACCATAAGGTTCACCATGATTAATTTTTGTACAGTATGGGTAACTTGTAAATTTGTTCCTTTTATCATTATAACTTGTAAAGTTCTTACAATAAGTCTTATATTAATCTTATGGAAAAAAGGGGAAAGTTATTTAATGTATTTGAACCCCAAATCTCTCAAATATAAAGCCATCGTAGAAGTCTAAAAAATGACAATTCAGAAGCAGCTGGTTTAGGGTTAGCCAAGCATATCCCATCTCCTCATGACCAGATCTCTTCTCGTCTGTTTTTCCAGATTCCAAGTAGTTTGATTCTTTCTCAGAACTATATTTATTATTCTGTTTACGTTTTGCAATCCAGATTTCTTGGAAGCCAAACCACATACATTTGTTTCCATTTCTTTTCTTTTAATTTTACTATTTAAGTTTCACTAACAGGCTTTGCAGATTCAACACTACTCAGAATAAAAGAGACTTCTGATAATTTTGACTTAATTACTTCAGGCAGAGGAAACATGTCTAATTGTCTTCTGTAGCTAACTAACCTTATATTATGAAATTCAGCCTATTGATTATTGCAGTGAAACTCAAGGATTTACTAACTACTTTGTTGGGGAGATGGGAAAGAAATCAGTGAAATGCAATGAAGATTAATTATATAGCATAATATTCTGTTAATTGAGTTTTTAAATAGTTTTTTGATTAACAAAGATATTATCTTCCCATTTGGGATACTATTTCATATGCCAACAGCATCCCAAAATGATTCTTCTAAGAAAAATTCCCATGTTCTTATGTAATTTTCTTTTTTATACTAATATTGAGGTTGAGAATCCCCCTTAGGCCAAATAGGTTAACATGCAAAAATTAATGGAAGACAATTGAAATTACTGTACAAAAGAGAAAATGAAGATAGATGATAAGATTGTGTTTAAAAGCTGCCACAAGTGATGATAAACTACTCAGAGAACCAGTAAGAAGAAAGAAAAAGTCATTACTCATATTAACAGCCACATGTTCCTTAGACTCTTTTATTCACAAAGCTTCAAGACACTGAGTCAAGAAAAATAGTGTGATAATAAAGTCAAGAATGACTCCAGGCAACCCAACCATGGGGAATTGGATTGAATTCACCATCAACTATCTTTAAGAAAATACATTGCTTATCTTATAGTTGGGAACAGTTTTTACTTTCTGCTAGAATATATTTTCAACCTTACAATTTTAATAAAAAATAAAATCAACATTCTATTGTGCATCTAGACTCTCAAATTATTTACCACATGGAAACACATTGTTTTACCTCATTTTCTACTTCCACTTTAATACCTACAATGAGAAGGGGAGGTATACTGAATTTGTTTTTCTCGCTATGAAATTAGTATACATTTGTTGTAAAAAAAAAAAAAAAAAAAAAAAAACGCAAAAAAAATATATAATAAAAGTGTTCCCATCCAGAGAGAACTACTGTTAATGTTTTTTAAAGAAAAAAGCAAAAAGGCATAATAAATCTGTTTCTTTCTTAACAGAAATAGGGTATATTCTGCAAACTCTTTTGTAACTAGATTTTTATTGACATAACATTTAATAATATGAATATCTTCATTGCAAATATTCTAAAATACCATAATGACCACATAATATTCCCTGTATGATTCTTCCATGCTTTACTAGTAAGCCTCCTATTATTAGTCCTTTAGCTGTTAACAAATTCTCACTATTATAAATCATATATACTGTAATATTACAGTAGTATACATAACATATTCTATTCCTATAAATATATTTGCAGGGATAGATGTTGGTATAAATATGACTAGGCAAATGCATACTATAAACTAAGTATGCCATATTATGCTTACTAAAAACAATTGTATAATTGTCTACATCAACATAAAAAAGAATCACAAAATTTTATAATAGTTATCTTTATGTAGTGGAATTAAGGGAGGTTTTTTTAACCTTTATGATTATTTTAATAACCATTCCATGTGCCACTTGTATAATAAAAAGAAAGAAAGAAAATGAGAAAATACAAAATTTATATATGCAATATTACAGATTTGTATTCTCCCCCGAAAGTACACAAAGTACTATAAGAATTTATGCAAAATATTGATGATGATCATCCCTGACTAGAGAGGTTGTAGGTGATTTTTATTCTTTATGTTACACCCATGGTTTCTCTTTTTCTCTGTATAGCAATTTATCATTCATGATAAGAAAAATATACAGTGTTAGCTTTGCAAATGGGATAGGATACATTCCAAATCCAAACAACGAAAAATATTTGGTATTAAAATTTACTGACTCTTGGGATGCTCTAAGCCACAGCTGATGAAGAGCTAATCACATGACTGTATAAATATGGCCCATGTTCATTTTCTCACCCTAAAAAGCAGTTCCGTATGCAGCAGGGTCTCCTTTTGCTCCAGCACAAGCCAGGGTGACTGCACAATTCAGAGCACACAAATCATACACTTAGCAGCCTTGCCAGTGTGTCAGACATGAGCAGCTCAAGTGATGCCCAGATACGAGAAAACGGGACACTTAGTTGCTGCTGAAAGCCCACTTCAGAATGTGGTGCATTAAGACCTCTAAGAATAAGGCATTTGTTTCTGGCAGCTTCAAGGCAAATGGAACTATGATCCACATATCCTGCTTTGAAGATCTGTCCCCCTGAAGGCATGAGAATTGAGAGGTGATGGCAAGAAGTCAGGTGAGGAGAAGTGGAGGAGTGAAGCAAGGGGCAAAAAAGGAAGGAAATCTCAGAGGGACAGCTTTTCTCCCCTGACAGTGTTTACAGAGAAGAAATAGTATGTGCTGACATCATCAAGGGATGAAGCTAAAGCTGTCAGAGCAACATGTTATTATGGCAGAATAGTTGCCCAATTTGCTAATTCTGATAAAAGCCGTCATTTGTGGACCATTATTAGAAGCCTAACACTGTGTTAAACATGCTACATGCTGTGATTTATTTAATCCTCATAACAGCCCCATGAGAAAGACACTATTTCCCCAGTTTACAAATAAAGAAACTGAGGCACAAAGAAACCATCTTTCTTTATAAGAATGGACTATGTAGGATACACTCATACTAAAAAAAATACTTTTTGCTTATCTGAAGTTCAAACTTAACTGGGTGTTCTGTACTTTTTTCTTGCTAAATCTGGCAGTCCTATTAGTTGCTTAAGAAGTACTAGTTATGGTCGGGTGTGATGGCTCATGCCTGTAATCCCAGCACTTTGGGAGGCAAAGGCGGGCAGATGCTTAAGGCTGGGAGTTCGAGACTACCCTGGGCAACATGACAAAACCTTGTCTCTATATTAAAAAAAAAAAAAAAATTGCTGGGTGTGGTGCTGTGTGCCTGTGGTCCTGGCTACTCTGGAGGTTGAGATGAAAGAATCACCTGAGTCCAGGAAGTTGAGGCTGCAGTGAGCCACTGTACTGTATTCCAACCAGGGTGACAGAGTGAGACCCTATCTCAAAAAAAAAAAAAAAAGGAAGAAGAAGAGAGGAAGGGAAGAAAGGAGAGAGGAAGGGAAGGAAGAAGGGAATGAAGGATGAAAGGAAAGAAGGAAGGAAAAAAGGGAGGGAAGGGTAGATGGACGGATGAACGGACAGACTAGTTATATACCTACTGTGTGAGAACCCCTGTCTTTGGCCATGTGGCTAGTGTCAGAGTGGGTATTAGGCTCAAGGCTGTCTGATTCCAAAGCCTAGCTTGTGCAGGATAGAGGAAGATACAAAGAAGGCAATCAAGTTTCTGCCTTCCAAAGGATATGTTAAAATAAGTATTAAAAAAAATGTACATTGGATCTGATAAGGAAAGCCCACCAAGGCATGTGGCCAGCAAATATGATTTGTTTAGCCTGAACATGTCTCTTTAAAAAATGGAATTAAAAGCCTGCATGTGGGGTAGGCCATTCCAGCTTCACAGATCCTTTAGCCCTTTTTACTCATTTCTTTGGCCTGCATGACCCCTGTAGAGATGGTAGTGCTCATGGGAGTTCTGTGAGGATGAGGGTTCTCTGTTTCAATGCTATGGAGAATTGCTGGTGTCATCAAGTCATATAAAATGCTGGGTCAGTACAAAGGTGAGAAAGATAGTTTCCAGCTGGAGACTCCATAGAGGCAGCAAAAGGAAAGGAGCATTTTGATGTATCTCCTTACCATTTTATTTTCCTAAATATTGCTAGAAATATGCACTGTGTAAGTAGATGAGATTTGTTCATTTGCCCTACTAATGTTTATTGAGCAGCTACTATATGCCAGGCACTGTTTGGGGTACTGGTGGTACACTGATAAACAGAGTCTTTACCTTCAACAATGTTATACTCTAATGAGAGAGAGAGAGAGAGAGTTATTTGATAAATAATCAACCAATTGTCAGGTAGTAAAAAGTATTATGAAGAAAAATAAAACAGGAGAAAGGAGATAGATAATGGTTCTGAAGACAGCATTTTTAGGTAGGTTTTACATAAGCCTCTCTAAGGTTGGGATGCAAACAGCAAGAGCAAAGTGAAGAAGCAAATTACATGAAAAAGAAGGTAAAGGGCTTTCCTGGCAGAAGACATAGCAAGTGCAAAGGCCCCGAGGCCGGAGTGAGCTTAATGTGTACCAGGAGCAGTCGGGAAGCCACGTGGCAGGACCACAGTAAGTGAGCAGGGAGAGGGTGCACAGGGAGATCAGAAAGGTGGAGAAAGTGGAGAGGGCAGGTCATCAAGGGCCTTTTAGGACATGGTGAGAACAATATGCCAGTGAGGTGGGATACTAAAATGGAGATAATTAATAGCACATACCTCCAGAGTTATGACTATCAAACCAATTTTTCATGTAAAGTGCTTAGTTACGTTGTAAGCTCTGTGTATGTTGCTTCTCTTATTATTCAATGTTCTATAAATGCTTCTATTGAATGAGCTAAATTAAAGTATAAGCTATAGATTTAAGAGCCCATTGTCAGGGAAAAACATTTGTCTCAGTATTTGTTTATGTTTTGAAATATTTTGTTTTGTTTTGAAATGTTCAATAAATGCTTTTATTGAATGAGCTAAATTAATCTATAAGCTATAGATTGAAGAGCCCATTGTCAGGGAAAACCATTTGTCCCAGTATAATATATGTTTCTGTTTCGAAATATGAGCTCTGCCTTCAAATGACATGAGAGTTATGCACAGCAACCCTTTACGTGAGCCAGCTTCTGTAGCAATTCTCTCCATACTTACCTCTTCCTCTCCCAACTGCCCCCAGGAAAACTCCCTTATAAACTTGCTTTTCACTGTAATTCTGACTTAATCTGGTTGCCCACTACAGATAAAACTGTGAAGCTGTGGAAAGTCAGCGAGCGTGATAAGAGGCCAGAAGGCTACAATCTGAAAGATGAGGAGGGCCGGCTCCGGGATCCTGCCACCATCACAACCCTGCGGGTGAGTGCACGTGGCTGTGCTGGCCACCAGAATCAGGGGCAGGTCTCCTAAGGTTGGCCATGTGCTGGTTGTTCCTGTAGACTGCAACTGTAATGGACCAGTGAGGGTACATAGGCAGAGACCCAGCCTGCCCCAGTCTCTCTCTGGTGGCAGATGGAGAAGCAGGCAAGGTGCCAAGCCCTCTAATGACTACAAATCCATGTTTGTCCCAGAAGACTTGCCCACATGGCCACTGCCAGACGTTACTATAATCTTAGCCTCTGTTGTTCGTGTTATCTAAAATGTCTTGAGCACCCTCTGTACTCAAGGTACAGGGATGAGAACCTAGATGACAAGTTGCAGTCTTGTGATTCAGAACACAAATGTAATCATCTGACAGACCTGGCTTCAAATGCTACCACTTACCCAAATTTTCCAGTAGCCTTAACCTTTTTGAGCTTTCCACATGCAAGTTATTTTTAGTTTCTCCATCTGCAGAACAGCGAACGCAGTACCTACTGCTCATGGACTTCTGAGGAAGAAATGCAAAAAGATAGAAAACCCTTCCTCTATGGCTGGTCCTCAATATATGGTCTCCACTCAGTCTGAGTAGCTTCCCTCCTGCTCTTCAGAAACACATGGTCTGATAAAGAAAGAGGATTTGTAAGGCTAATATGGAAATGATTATGGCATTAAATATAGTAAGAAAAATGCACTGAGCGTAAGAGAATTGCAGTTTGATTAAAGGAGGAAGAAATTACCTGTGGTTGTTGGAGACCAGAAAAGTTATCATAGGGAAGTGGCATTAAAAACAGATTTCTCAAGGTGAATTTTCAAGGGACGGGTCTATAGATGTCAGGTAAAGTGGTTTAGGACTGGATGATGAGTTTAGTTTTGAACATGTTCAATGTGAGCAGTAAAGTAGCCTCATGTTGGTATAGCCCTAGCCCCAAGGGACTTGTAAAACTGTGTAAAATATGTGATTTCAGACACCAGCAGCTCGACCAAAAAGTAAGAAGGGAGACAGTAAGTAAACGTAAGGAAAAGAGGTTCCTGCCCTATGTTTGAAGGCTAAAATGAGATAGTCATTGTATGTTTGATTAGCTCACTTGTTTATTTGTTCAATAATTCATTTATGGATACACCTTCTTATTCAGCAGTTGCTTTTTGAATATAGACTCTTTGATGACCACTGTGCTAGACTACTAGGTATTTACCCTGTACTAATGGGCACATGGTCCTCCTCTGAGCTGTTTCAGAGCCAACAAGCATCGGTGATGCTGTTTCCTTCATCAGCCTATACTTTCAACTCTGGAGAACTTCCATGCACGTCCACGTTATCAGACTGGGTGGAAGTGGCAACAGCCCTGATGCTCTGAATGTGCAGGGGTTTTGGAGGCTGGAAAATAGAGTAGTGAAGAGTACTAGCATTGAGTCAGTCCAGCCTGCGTTAGAATTCTGGCTCCGTGACTTTCCACTGGTGACCTTGGACACATCATAGTCATGTATCACTTAGTGATGGGAATATGTTCTGAGAAATGCATCGTTGGGTGACTTCATTGTTGTGAAAACATCATAAAGAATATTTATGCAAACCTAGACGGTATAGCCTGCTACGCACCCAGACTACATGGCATAGCCTGTTGCTCATAGGCTATGCAATTGTAGGGCCTGTTCCTGTATTGAATGCTGTAGCCAATTATAACACAATGGTAAGTCGTATATAAACATATCTAAACATAGAAAAGGGACAGTACAAATACAGTATTATAATCTTATGGAACCAATGTTATTGACCAAAACATCATGTGGCATGTGGCTATATTTGAACACCTTGTACCTCCAATGTCTCATCTGTATAAAGGAGATAATGATAGTCATTGCTTCCTGGAATTGTTGTGAGGATTCAATACGATGTTTTGTGTAAGAAAGAGCTCAGCTTGTGTAGTGGTGGCTCACAGAAAGCCCTCAATAATGTTAGTTCCCTGCTGTCATTTCAGTATTAATATCATCATCATCATCATCATCATCATCATCATCATTGCTATTATTACCTTCTACTGATAGTAGGCCTATATATGAGACAATTCATGTTGCTTTTCTTTTTTATACTTTCTATACTGTTAGATTTATGCTACAAACTACTCACTGATATTTACTAAGTGGCAAACACTGTCCTGGCAATATAACAGGAATAAGACTGTCTTTTGCACCTCGAGACATGCCAATCTTGGGAAAACAGCTGGATTAAGTGCCACTTAGAGTTTATACCACGAACTTCTGCCCAGACTGTACCTGGCCCTTGTCTGCTATGTGGATGGAATCTCTCAAATGCCATCTGTAGACCCCGCTGTGGAATCCTATGTCTATGGCATCCTGTGGGATTTCATATACTGTGCTTAACCCCTGGGAAAATTCCATCCCTATGATAAAGAGGAGAGAAGGCCTATTTCAGTTTCCGCGAGAGCAGAGATCCTCCCCATGCCAAGCCAGTGATGCCAATAAAGTGGACTTCAGATGAAACAGGGAAGGAGGCCCTGCGGTGTGGCTGGGAGTTGGAAAATTACAATTCTTGTTCTCGCTTTCTTACTAACCAGTTGTGTGACCTAGCTGATGAATCCCATTTCTTCCCTCCAAGCTTGGTTTCTATGCTGCCAAGCAGAGGACTGGGAAATGCAGATTCCCGAGACCCATCCCCAGAGAGGAGATCCAGAGGAATCTGCATTTTCAGCACTTGCCGCTGGTGGCTGAGACAAGGGGTTCTGCGGTCACTGGACTGTCGTCCCTAAGGCCCGCTGGAGCTATCACTTTTATGAACCTCTATTATTTTTCCATTATTTGAAAATTTTCAATTCTCAAATAATTTGGAGAGACATGTCATATTTGCTATATAATTATAAATACCTTATCTGTATTTACCTCCTCCTCTTTCCTAGGCTTTCAAATATCTTGCATTTCAGTATAAACATCCACGCCACAGCATTCTTTAAATGTAAACAGTGAAAAGTCTAGCTTCCTTTTCTTTTTGATCCCAGTGGTAGAAGAAAAAAAAAAAAAAAAAAAAAAAGCAGGCAACTCTGAAGACTAGATTCAGAACAATGACTCCAGAAAGGGAATGAGCTGATGTGATATTAATCAGATTATTATTTACTAGCATGTTCTGCTCTTGAAATATGCATTGCCAGCAACTGTGTCTTTTTTTTTTTTCTTCCCTGTGCTATGATTACCTCTTGCTGACTGACTTTCATAGTTTCCGGTTCTATGTGGGTATTGAGAGTGAGAACATTTAATAATATTCTACAGCTAATTAATCTCACTGTGTAATGAACCTGTTCTGTTTCAGTGCTGAGAGGCTCAGCTTTTCAAAGCAAGAATGTGACTTTATCTTTCATAGAAGATAACCTTTCAAAATCAATCTCGTTACCAAAGGAACCTATGAGAAGCATGTCTATGAAAACTATATCCCCTGCTCAAAATCATGACTTAATATAATAAGCATGGTGATAATTTAATAATAACACCTTATAGTTGTAAAGTACCATTTGTATTACAAAGCGTTTTCTTACCTAGTCCCTTGATTCTTCTTCCGAATAGCCAGTGAGGAGGGCAAGAGAGGTATTTAACAGGTGAAAACGCTGGTATCTAGCATTCTTTGATCATTTGCCATATCCCATGCTGCACCATGCTGCACTCTATCTGTATTAGCTACCTCGAAAGGTGTAGTTCACTGTTAAAATGCCCATTTATCAGATGAGGCTCCAGGCAGGTAAGTAACATACCCAAGATCATGCGAGGCTAAGAACCAAGCCTTGATCTACTTTTCTCTGGGGCCTGAGCCCTTTAACCTGATGCAGACTCAGAGAGGGGAAATGACTTACCTAGTATTGCTCAATTGGTTATTTCAGGACTGGGACTAAAAATCAAGAGTTAGGGTTCTTAAACTTAGACACATACATTTGGCCATTTGAGATGATTGTGTTAATAATTAGTGCCATTATTATTCTAGGTCAGGGGATCTCTCTCTCTCTCCCTCTACTCTCTCTATCCCTCTCTTCACCCCTCCCTCTTGCTGTCCCTCCATCCCCCCTCAACTCTCCCCTACCACTGCCCCCCACCCCAACACACACACTTACACATTGAGTTTCCAGATCTCTGACCTCAGCAATGGAGAAACGAAGATCTTGAGGTCTCTATCCAGTTCTACTTCACATGACCCTCCACACCCTTCTTTCTCAACCTCCCACTACCCAGGAGTAACAAGCTCTCAGAGCCCTTTTTAGGTAATGGGAACTCACCGTTAAAGTGACTTAATCAGCCTGAAATGGAAGCTGGGTGGTGAGAAATCACACTTAGCATACTTCTTCCTGCAGGATGAGGCTTGAGGTATTATTTTCCACATTATTATTAGCTGCCAGTGCCCTGGAAACCTAGGTTTGGTTGAAATCGGCATTTTTACCTGTTATAAAAATAGAGTCTAGAAGGTATGGACTCCCAAGCTGTGACTTGTCATAACCTGCCCAAAATGAAGGTAGTGTGATGAATTCCATTTTTCTAATGGATTTTATTGCAACATGCCTTACAACAAAGAAAAACAATTATAGCCACCATCTATTGAGTGCTTACTATGTGCCAGGTGCTAGATTTTATATCCTTAATATTACACAGTCCCCATAATAACTCTCTCTGGAATGTTCTGTTATTCTCTCCAGATCATCTGAAGCTGTAGCCTCCCCTTGGTTTCAGTCTCTGCTCAAGTGCTACCTATCAGAAAGGCCCTCCTATGGAAAAGAGCACACCCACATTTTCCCATTCATTCACTCTGTCCTTTTTGCCTAGCTCTTGCATTGCCTAGCGTTGTCTCTGCTGTCTGCCTCCTCTCCATCCCCAGTAAAATGTAAGCTCCAGGAAAGCAGGAACTCTGCTTTGTTCTCTCCTGCAGCTCCAGCACCTGGAACAATGCACAGCACATGGTAGGCACTCAGTGAATATCCGTCAAGTGAACAGATTACCCAGAAATGGAA